ACCTGACTGACGCGGTCAAGGACCCGGAGGAGATGGAGCGGATTATCGCTGGGGGTAACTGAGATCCTCCCAAACCCCGGTACTGAGTATCAGAGGAGGCGCACGGCCGAACAGAAGAGATATCCAGGTGGGTCTCTGAGTGGTCGGCCGCGATGTACATACCAGCAGCGCACGCGCAGACTCTGGGACGGAAGAGCGGTGGACAGAGTCCCCCGGCTCTTGGGCATGATTGAGTGAGTGAGGAGCCAGTCCGTGGTAAGAATACCCTAGGTGCCGTACAATACAAACGCACAAATTTAAATCGACACTGCTGTGAAATGACCCTTGAACAGCTGGCTTTCTTCGTGGTTGGCAGATTAAGCTTTCCGCTTTTCGGGTGATTTGATTGTTCTCATCTAGCATTTGTGACTCTTTAGCCTCTTCTTATTGTCATGTACTTCTTTCCTCTTTTGCTCCCGACCGCGCGGCTGCGACCTGCTCTGTCTTCTTCTCCTCTGGGCGTCCATCTATTACACCACCACTGCCGCCGCCGCCGCCACGGCAAACACGACGAGCGCCGCAGCACCGCCGCCCAGCCGTCCCGCGGCGCCGTTGGGCTTGGTGGTCTGCGCGGGCGTCTGGCTGCTGGCAGGGGTGCCGGACCCCGAGGGGTTGGTGGTGCCGGAGGGCGCGGCGCCGTTGCTGACGAGCGCGGCCAGGCCCGAGTCGGACGCGCCGAAGCTCTCGACGCCGTTGGCCGTGGTGCACGAGCTCGGGGTCGAGCCGGTGCCGGAGACGAACTTGACTGCGGAGCACTATTGGACGGAACACCCAAGTTAGAAACCACGGATCCAAATTTTTACTGGAGGGGAGGGGTCCCCGCAGAGGAACTTACCTGGTACAGGAGCCCGTCCGGCGCGTTGCCCACGATGCTCAGGATGGCCGTCTTGCCGACCCAGCTCTCGGGCACCTTGATGCCGCTCTTGCAGTAGGCGCCAGCACCGCTCTGGGTCGTGATGTCGCCGATCTGGGTCCAGTTGCCGCCGGTGCTGCCGACGTTGTTGTCGGTGGTGATGCGGTAGAGCCAGTTCTGCTGGGAGTGGCTGGACTTTGTGCCGATGGAGTCGCCGCCGACGTGGAAGTCGGTGACCTTGAGGCCCGAGGCCGAGAGGTTCGGGGTGTAGCCGCCGCAGGGGGCCTGGGCCTCGCTGCTGTCGCTCATGGGCTGCATCGTGGGCGGGTAGAGAACCTGGAAGTGCGCGGTCGCGCCGCTGGCGAGGAGCAGCGCCGTGGCGGCGGCGGTGAGGAGGGAGGGGGCCATGGCGAGCGAGGGTTGTTTTGTTGCTGGAGGTGGTGTTGTGGTTGTTGAAAGTCTGTCGGACAAAGATCAACGAGGGATTGAGTTTGCAAAAAGAGAAGTAAGTTGTGTGACGCGGAGAGGGCGCGGCTGATGACTTCAGCACCTCGGGACGCCGAGCTTATAAGAGGAGGAAGGCCGCTGCAAGCCACGAACGGGATGGCAGCCGCCACCGACGCCAGGGGAAGAGCCGTGTGTTCCGTTGCATGGCACGGGACGCGTGGACTGCTGGTGCGACGGATGTGAACCAAGCTGCCGGTCCCCTGCCGCGCAGACCCTCATCTTGCGCTCTGGTGAGTCTGGCGCGCACTGAACTCAAACTTGCTCAGCTCCCACGTCCAGAGTCGACGGGCATCGGCCTCTGTGATCGTGTCCCTCCGGGTCCCCACCGGCGCATGCTGAAAGTGGAAGCTTGCTAACCGAGACCCTTGCGGCACTAGACCGCAGCAGGGCCTAGCGGCGCACGGGAAGGGTCTAGTGCGGGCCTCTGAAGGCTTGTGTGGTGCCGGGGTGCCTGGCGCGGGGGCGGGGCCTCAGCGACAGCCAGCGCTGTGAGTGGCTGTGAGGACGCCCCCATTGCCTGTTGAGGCCATTTGAGCAAGTTGTGGCGTCTCCACCGCACACGCAGGACCCCCGTGAGCAAGATACGGGGGTACAAGCTGAGGCCTGCGACTGCCTCCGGGGACCAGCTGGACGGCGCCGTCTGCCAAAGAGCCGCAGCCCAGTCTCAAGATCCTGCTCAGCTGCGTCAACTGCGCTCCGGAGTCAACGTGCATCACCAACCTCCATCAACGCTTTCACTGTGGACGCTTACAACAACAACGACGACACCGCCGTCACCTTCTGATCCGATGGCGCCGCCGCCCCTGCGCTGAGCACCGCAACACCATCTTCCCTGACACCGGCTGCCGCACTCAGAGTCTGCGCACCTGACCCCTCACAGCACCTCCCGCAGCATCACATTACATCCATACACCCATCATGGAGCGCAGACAACACAATCATGGCGGCATGGACATGGGCGGCATGTCAAGCAACTCGTGGACCGCCACCAACACGGGGCTCGCCGCCGCCTTCTGGTACCTCATCGCCGCCGTCCTCGGTCTCTGCCTGCTCATCCGCGCCGCCGACCACTTCCAGAACAGATCCCGCCTCCAGACGCTGCGCACGAGATCCGTCGCCTTCCCGACCAAGCCGCAAACCGCGTGGCAGCAGGCTTGGGCGACAACCACGGCCGTCGCCCGCGAGGCCAGCTATCCGCAGCTCTACATCCCGGTCCGCGGCCTCCAGTGGCTCACCCCGCCGCCAATGGGCCGCGTCCTGCTCCTGCTCGCCTACTGGGCCGTCGTCATCTACATGATGGCCTCGGACGCCATCATCAAGGACGTCCTCTTCTGGGAGCGCATCGGCTACCGCAACGCCTGGGTCTCCGTCATGCAGGTCCCCCTGCTCTACATGCTCGCCCTCAAGACCAACCTCGTCGGCATCATCTCGGGCACCAGCTACGAGCGCCTCAACTGGCTGCACCGCTGGGTCGCGCGCACCCTCTTTGTGACCGCCACCGTCCACGGCTGGCACTTCTACCGCCAGTGGGAGATCGCCGACATTGTCGACTGGCAGCTCGAGGCCATGCCCATCGTCGTCTACGGCATCGGTGCCTGGGCCATCCTGCTCTGGTTCTTCGTCACCTCCCTCAAGCCCTTCCGCGCCATGGCCTACGAGGTGTTTGTCATCCAGCACATCATCGGCGCCGTCCTGTTCCTCTGGCTGCTCTACGTCCACCTCCCCGTCACGGCGCAGTACAACGTCTGGTTCGCCGTGGCGCTGCTGTGTCTCGACCGGGTCGTGCGCGGCGGCATGTTTCTCTGGCAGAACACCAAGCTCAACCCGACGCGGTCGCGCTGCAGCGGCGGTCAGCGCTGGGGCCACAAGGTGCAGCTCGCCGTGGCGGGCGAGGCCACAACGGTGGTGACCATCAAGGACGTGCACTTCAAGTGGCGGCCTGGCCAGCACCTCTGGCTCTGGCTGCCCCGGATCGGCCTCGTCGACACGCACCCCTACACGATCGCGTGCCCGCACCGCATGCCCAAGACGTGCATCTGCAACAGCATCCAGCTCGTGATCCGCGCGCACGGCGGCTTCTCGAAGCGTCTACATCGGTACGCCAAGAAGATGGCGGACTCTGGCAGCACACCGCAGAACGGCACGCTCACGGCGTTCGTCATTGGCCCGTACGGCAACCCGCCACGCTGGGATGTCTACGAGACGCTGGTCCTTCTGTCCGCGTCGACGGGGACGTCCTTCACGCTGCCGATCCTCGAGAACGTGCTGAAGGCCGCCGAGGCGGCGGCGGACGGGACCACCAAGACGGCCATCTGCACGAGGAGAATCGACTTCCTCCTCACGGCGCGGCAGGGCGAGGAGCTGGGCTTCTACATCGAGCGGCTGCGCGAGGCGCTTGACCAGGCGCGACTCGTGGGGATCGAGCTGAATGTGCACGTCGCGGTCACGGGCAAGGATCAGCTGGGCACAATCACTGCGCTACCCTCGACGACGTCGGCGAGAGCAAGCACGACCTCGTCGTCGTCGATAGACGAGAAGACTGCAGGCGGCCCCGGCCCGGCAACAGCAGAGCCGCGGTCATGCTGCAAGCACGCGCGGAGCGAATCTTCGGCGTCGGAGGCGGACGAGATGACGCCCGCTCTGCGCACCAGGTCTAACAGGAGGAGCAGCGGCGACAAAATTGCCGCCGAGATCACTGCGACTGCTGCACCCAGCTCCGATGCCGCGCCGTGCTGCCACGCAGATGCAAGCTCCCCATCCAGGGCCGGCAGAGGCAGCAGCGGCGACGACGGTATGGTGCAGATCACTTACTCGTCTGCACGGCCCAACATCAAAGCCTTCCTGCGTGGCTCAGTCGAGGCCACGGGCGGGGAGACGGGCGTGGTCGTGTGCGGCGGGCAGTCCCTCGTCGCGGGCGCGCGGAACAGCGTGGCGAGCCTGAGCGACGAGCGGGCCGTGCATAAAGGGACGGGAGCGCAGGGGATATTCTTGTACGTGGAGGAGTACTGCTTCTAGCGTTTTTGTTCTCAGCATGAAATACTATACCGCAACGTTGTTGTGGAAACAGCAGGATATGAGATCCGGGACGGTACAAGCCGGACAGATTGCAGTGTTGGATGATGGATGAACAGTGATCTGCCCGCAAGCAATATCGTATCCAACGTGACGCGGTGCCCAGGAAAATGCGATGTTCAACAGCTTCAGCTTCCGCATGTATTCGGCTTGGGTACGGCGAGCGAGCCTTGCTGCCATGTCCTGTCCTCGCATCTTCGTTCCGGTCCAATCCGGAAAGCGCTGCGGCGGCAGGCGAAATACACTGGATGCAATTGCGCCATGCGATACCAGTTTCTCGTCCGAGGTTGCTGCGCGCGAGCCGTCTCTCCGTGGAGCAGTACCGACAGACTTAAGTCGAAAGGCGAGACAGTCGGCCGCCGGCGCCGGAGGTCGACGTCCATGCTCGGACCGGAACCGGCCGGCCCCGCTCCGCAACCCCGCTACCAGTTCCCCCCCACCAAACGAACCCTGGAAGATTTCGGAGCAAAAAGACGCAAAAAACATGCACTCCGCCCAGTATTTCTGGCTGGACATGGCAAAAGAATAATGAGAAGAGTGGGATTCGAACCCACGAGGATTGCTCCACTGCGAAATAGTGAACAGGTTTTTGTGAATCGACTAGAAACAAGTCAAACCGCCTGAACGCAGCGCCATAACCGCTCGGCCATCTTCCCTCCTTAGTGTGAAGGCTGCACGCCTTATGCGAGGATATATCAGCAGCACTGAAAATGCTCTGATGTCTGCGGCTCTCTCGTCCTTTGCCCGACAGCTTCGGAGTCCAAGCACCCGACTGCATTCAGGTCGAACGAAGAAATGTACCTGGTGTTTGAACTCTTGCCAGGAGCACCGAATTTTATGCGAAGGTCTGCAGGCCGTTCGACAATGTCATACTGGCCAGGTCTACCCATCACACTGCAGTCTCTCTGACCTGTCTGCCCGCTGGGGTCTCATCTCCTGTAAGTGGAATACGATACGTGATTGCGCGATCCAGAACACAGTGTAGCTTCCCAACGGTCCTGACCATCAGTTTGATCTCTGCTACTTCGACTCGTTTCCTCCTAGTCTGCAACTTGACTCCCCTCACGTCCCGGGATCCTCGCGCCGCCATACGACAGAAGGCTCTTTATCTCCCCGGCGGCGGCCCGCCCCTCGCTCTGAATAACCCCGGCGGAGGGCCTCCTCCTCCGCCTCCCATCGCACCCCGCCTTGGAGGTCCGCCTCTCGCGAAGCCCGGCGGACCACCAGTCCCGCCAGGAACACCAGCAGGAGGCGGCACCGGCGGGAACGCGGACGTCATCCCCGGAGGGCCTCCACCTGCTCCGCCGCTGGCCGGCATCCAGGCTCCCGGGCCGATGTCGTGCGGGTCGCTGATGCCGCTGCTGCTCCCCCCGGAGGACGAGGACGCGCTCGACACCCCGCTGCTTTGCTGATTGCTGTGCGCTCGAGGTCGAGTGCTGTTGCCGTCTGTGTGCGAGTCTTGTCAGCGGCCTTCTCCCTGTCAACCCATGTTTCGGGAAGTGATTGGGGCTTTCATACGTGACCGTCGCTGAGATCCAGCTGCCCTTCGGGACTTGCGTTCATTATGCTTGTTGTTACTGCTGCTGTTATTGCTTGAACTGCTGCTGTTATTGCTTGAACTGCTGCTGGAGCTGCTGCCTGAGCCATAACCTGACCCGGAGCCGGATCGTCTCCCGGAGCCTGTATCAGAGGAAGCGACAATCAAGGGTAGTCAGTCTCTGAATGCAACCCACCCAGACCTCCTTCATCCGACATGACATGCGTAGAGGATTGGACTGGGCAAAGCAGGGATCCCTCTTACTGCAGAGGTACCATAGCGCCCCGGCCAGCACCAGCACCACGACCACCACGCTGAGCACCACGCCGACGACATTGACGCCGGATCCATCCCCGCCGCCGCCGCTATCTCTGCTATTGCTACTACTGCTGATGTTGTTGCTGTTGGCGGTATCGTCCGCATCCTCGACGACGACTACTCCGCCACCATCACCAGCAGCACTGCCTTGTGTGGCCGGCAGGCTGTTATCGTCGTTTCCTAGAGTCCACATCATCGTCGTCGTCATCGAGTCCGGCCGGGTGAAGGCCTGCGTGCGGACGACCACTTCCTCCTTCTCCTCCTCTCTCTCTCCAGGTGTGTATTTGCCGCTGTCGTCATAATATGGCGTCGTCGTGATGAACATGGCCGGCAGACAACGTACGTGTAAGACGAGATACGGCTGTTATCTCAGTGCCCGCTCCGGCGCAATGGAAGACCGCAATCTAGCAACTTTTTCGCAACTTCTCGTCTTGGTACTAGCAAATAAGGATCCGAAATCAACAAGCGCCGCCACAAGACCTTCTTCACGTAGCACTGTCTTTCGAGATTCCGGACAGCCCTCCCTCTCTCCGCCGCGCGAAAATGCCACACAAGACGAAATCAGACCGTGACACAAGTATGCACGCATGTGTGTGCTGTCCATCCCGTCTCCCCTCACTGGCTGACAGAGTCCGCATATAAGGCCCCAGGCGGCAGCAGCCTCTCTCACTCGGACAACCGCGTGGTCTGCAGCTGCAGTCCCGGGCGATCTTGGTCCCCCGCCTTGTGTGTGTTACCTCCGGACTTGAGCACGCATAAGGGCCTTAATTTCTGCTCCAGGATGTGTTTGGACAGGAGATTTCGGCTTGGGGCCTTCTTGACGCTGGCAACTTGGAGAGCAGCAGCATCCGCCAGAAGAAACCAGAAACGACAAACCCGAGAGCAAAGATGGGGACTACTTGATGCAGAGCGGGTACTCGGGGGCGGTGTCTGTCACACAAAGGGAACGGAGTAGCATTCCCATGTAGTAGTCGCAATGCAGCCAGCCAGCCAGCCAGCCCGGTATACGTATGCTGACTTGCCTCACGCTCAACCCGCTCACCTTCTCGCCCAACACGACACAATCGCCACACACTCAGGTACCACGAGCGGGACGGAACGGCTACCCGCCTCATCAACTCGCACACTGATCGCGCAACTACCCGAGACTGTACTGCTCTGTTGTCGTTGAGTTGTTCGCACATCTAGGCAGGTAGCAAAGGAAAGGATTAGCTACGCTCATAGTATAGTGACTGGCATGCGGGCTAGCTCGCAGGGCTGGCGGGCACAGCTGGGTCTCCAATCATCTGATCACCGCTCGCCATCTCATCAGCCCTGTGTCACAACGGTGACCTCTCCCTAGATGCGCATGCCACTTTGTTTTCCTCGTTCAGATCAGCACCATCACTGCACTGATACAACACACAAGCAGAGATGAACTCGACAAAGAATATGGATATCCATTCATTCAGCTAATATGCCCCCCAACCTAGTAGCCAGCAACAGAAAAGACGAAAGCCGGCGCAAGTCTGAGCAACAAACCGGTAATATATGTAAGTCGTGCCATAAAAGATGTCTGTTTCCTCCCAAGCAACGCCCTTGTCCCTTTCCCTCTCTCCACCTTTCCGCTGTAAGAGGATGAAAGGGCGACGCAAGAAATTGTCACCGAGCCCCCGTGCTGTGCAAATGCATCCTATCAAGCTCAATACCAAGTGCGCCGACCGTGCTGTTGTTGTTATCATTACCGCCATAACCTGTGTCCCCTTGCGACATATCATGGTCGTCGTGCTGCTGCTCGACGCCTGACACTGTAGTGTACCGAAACTTGTCGTTATCGTGCGCCTCGAGCTCCGCCACCGCACCTTCTTCGCAGCGGCTCTGCTCGAAGGGGCCCTGCTGGCCTCCCAGTTGTGTCGAGACGGGTGCCTCGACCTCAATACCCTTCGACTGCAGCTCGCCGGGGGTCGGCAGTCGCACATCGCGCGCTTCAAGCGTGTCGGCGATGTCCTTGAGAAGTATGTCCATGGGGCAGATGTAGGCGACCTGCTTGCGCTGGCTCCACGCCAGGACGTGGCCACACACGCGGCCGTTGTTGCGCTCGATGATCCACGCACCCGAGTCTCCGGGGATGCCTAGCGGCGGGTCACGGTTCCGAGGGCTGCTGAGGTTCACCGGCGAGCTCCCGCTGACCTGGTACGTCTGGCTGGCTGACTGGCGCCCGAAGATCTTGACCGAGGTCAGTGCGGGCATGATATGGCCGGTCTGCAAACCGCTGGTGCGCGCCATGCACTGAACCTCAAGTCCAGGCAGAGACGAGAACGGGACGACCGTGGACGGGTGCAGGGACTCCTCGTCCGGCGAGGGCTTGGCCGCCTCAACCTTGGCGCGTGGCACAAAGTTCTCCGCCGGCTGCCTGTCATCGTGAAACTCGAACAGAGCCCAGTCGATCTCGTGGACGAGGTAGTTCTCGTCGCGCCGCCTACGTATGCCCGAGGTGGCAAAAATCTCCCCAAGGCTGCAGGTGGCGAGATGGTCCTGCCGCGGGCGTAAGTATGGTGGCGGGACGTGCAGGCAAGGATGGGTGACGAACAAGGTGCACAATAATCAACAAGTCACGGGCCGCCGGCTACGTACCTCATCCATGGTCTCCTCTTCGGGGTAGAAGTTCTCGTCCACGTCGTCGAGTGCGGGTTGTGTGACAACATAGCCATCTCCACAGCCGGGCTCGACCCCAGGAATGTCGCCAGGCTCGTCGAACTGCTCATACTCGTCCTCATCATCTTCGTCCTCGTCATCGCTAGTGAGCTCGGTCGCAGAATAGTCGGACTCATCATCGGAGAACTCGCAGGAGTAGTCGTCGCCACCACTGTCGGTGGACCAGTCCTCGTCTTGCGCATATGGCGGCAATTCATGCGACCCAGCCGTGTGAGGCGGGGCCGATGCTCTGACGCTGTCTGCACCGGCTTCCGCTGCGGTGCCACTCAGGTGCGCCGCTTCAGGATCGTCGAGCATGTGGTGCACGGTCATGCCGAATGGGCGGTCGTCGACCATAATGAGACCACCGAAGCTGACGGGCGGAAGGTGCTTGTCACCGATCCATGCCCCGATGCTGGCTCCGTTGTGTGGTCGCTTCTGGTAATCAGCATTGGCGGCAGATGCGCCATGGTCCTGCTCCTTGGGCTCAGTGCCTTGCCCGGCAAGCTCGCCTCCTTGGCCGTAGGCCATGCTTCGTGTGGGGCCCTTCCTCGACCGCAGCATCGACCCGCGGCACACCTTGAGCGAGAAGCCAGTGCCGTCAAAGAATGGCTCTAGTTTCTTAGTCAGGATGGCCCGAACTTTGCCTACAGAGGTGCAGACGACGAGCACGGTCGGCGTTGTCTTCTGTGGCGACTCCCCGATGGACTCAAGGGATATCTCGACTGACTCAGGGTGTTTTCGATAGAACGACTTGAGGGCCATGTTGATCTGCGGCATAATGACTGTGTTCCATGTCTCGACCTTCTCGCTCGGCAGGGTGACCTGAGGGTAGAGTCGCAGCTTGGGCGACTTCTCCTTCTTGACGGGGGATTCTCCCGCCCTGATTGTCTCGGTGGCAATGTCCTGCTTTACAGGGATGACATTGTCAGAAGCTGTCTCTTGCAGCTTTTTGAAAGATGCAAAATCAGCAGGCGGCGTGTGAGCAGAGATTGGTGTCTTGGTGTCATAGCCTGCAGCCTCTGCCGCCTTCGAGGAAGTTGCTGCTGGCGCAAGCGTGGGCTCATCGGTCTGTAGGTTGAGGGTAGGTGACAATCGTGCCGACTCATCCCCAAAGCGGTCGTCCAG